AAGAAGAAACGACTGCCGCTCTGTTGTTAACTCTGCTATAAACTTTTCTTGTTTTTTTTTTTATCAAAGATTCCATAAATAATGAATAACAGTAAATCAATAGTTATGAGTTGTCCATCTGGCAAGCCATTGCTCAAAGTTTCTGTTTTAATTAAGCACAATACTTTCAGCATCGACCAAAATACGCTAAATGTACTAGTATACACTCATATGTACATAATTATGGGCATGGCTGAAAGCATCATCCGAGCTGTATCTGGTACAATTTCCGTTTGAACAAAAAGCGTGAATAGTTCTCAACCAAAATTATACATATGTACGCACTCATAAGTTTTTTGCTACATAACTTCCGAAATCTTAATGCACTCACATGCTTAGGTATTTATAAAGTAGTGTGTGTAAATGCCAACCACGGCGCCGTTATGTTTACGGTTTTGGCAACACCAAGCATAGCCATCAAAATAAAGTCATAAAATTAATGTACTGTCTGTCCAACAACTYCCCAAAATTGAGCAAATGGCAGCAGATAAGAAACGAAAAGTGGGTAATGTGCAGAGCAGCAACAACACGCCGCAGATCAGGGCAAAAAGCATAAGTAGTGCAGTCATTTTAACATGGGTCGCTTTGCAAGAGAACAATGCTGAGAAGAAAATCATACAAAATTGCCAACATGCAGGTGAATTCTCCGATTAGATGCTTAACACTGAAATCGACAAACAAACGAGCGAATGCGATTATATGCCATTGGCGTTGGCAATAAAAATAATTTGCTGGACATTTGGGAGGGAAATTAGTACACGAGGTTAATGTGCCCATTGGATGGTTTTATTTTAGCCAATGGTATCTATATAAATTGGCAGCATATATTATATACTGCTAGATATTTGCATTTAAGTAGAACACAAATTGGCTTCTGGCTRCATTAAAGTGGGTAGGAAGATATATATATGTCAGAAAAAATCAAGATTTCTAACTTGCAATAAATCTTTAAAACTATGCTACTGACATTATATTGGTTGGTTGGCGTCATGTTCATCCTTCTCTAGAGGGCAATGAAAATGTTTTGTTAAATTCCTAATGGATCTCCTTTTCTCGCTCACATAACCACTTAACCCGAGTTTATTAAGMAATCCCCAGCAAACAGGTTCATTTCACCTGTACCAGTGATTTTTTCTTGAGGAGAAAAGAACGTGTGAAAATGTTTGATTGATATCTCAAGACCTGATTTATACATTTTATAGGGTTTCAATTACTAATATTCCTTTTCTTCTCAAGAATGCCGGCACTTTTTCGATAATTCCTTCCACCATATCACCGCACCTTATGTGAGTATGAAATGGATAGCACTTTGGGCCAATGGTCTTCTACAGGAGTACCGGAAGCGCTGTTTTTTATTTAGGATAACTCTGAGATAATAACCAGAGCTCGAGAGTGTAATAGTTCCACCTCTAAAAGAGGTTGAGGTTATTGAATTGCGAAATATTTTCCTTGTGAATAGACAGATTTGTTATTTCTTCGGATTAACAGTTAGGCTGTGTCCGGAGACAAAGATCTCAAAGGCCCTTTCTATGAGCCGGCATAAGAGGTCCCTGGACAGAGGACAAGTTCTCCTTGTCGAGAAGAAATAGTAATTCATTGATCGAGGCGATCCACAGCAAAGGGAATAAGGTGTCTCATTGCTTAGTGAGACAAGTGATCTGGTAAGTGATTTTAATACCTTTTTCTAATATATGGCTTTGCATATGACTTTATCAGGTCGGCAAGTTCTAATTGATATCGAAAAAAGTCATAACCAATATCAGCGCAGCCATTCTTGTTGAATACACCTTCCGCATCAATGATTGATGAATTCTAGTTTTTCTACCTCATTTAAGGTGATATCAACCCATTTCCTTTTTTCGAATGGTTTTATGGAACTTGCCTTTTGATGAGATCRTCGCTGATCCTCTTCATACTTTTTAGTAGGAACGGGGTTAAACTGATCGGTCTATAAGATTTTGACGAGGAGTAGTTTTCCTTTCCCAGTATGAAGATAACTGCTGCCTCCTGTCCTCTGTTGGATGCCAAGGAACTCTCAAATAAAGCTCGATCAACTAAAAGCTAAAGCTAGTCGACCTAATCATTTATGGTATATGTAACACAATATCTTTATCGAAAAGTTGTATGTGTTAGAAACMATCATTGTATGRAAAAAACTATTATATTCTGTAAAAAAATGCTTAGACAGTATAATAATAGTTATGTAATTATTCGCTCTAAAAACTACTAACTTTCCATCACAGGAGAACTCTATACACAACAGCACGAATACATTAACAACTGCTTTAATACGCAGGAATGCATATGTTCTGTACTTATAGCCAAAGTAATTGACCCAAATATTTTTCTTTAATATACAATTAATTATGCTTAAAGTATCTGGTATTTGTGTAAATACAAGAGCACTTAATAATCTCATACTGCATAATTACTAAGCGAGCCAACTATGCCAATTTCCACTTGAATGGCATCAGCTTTTTTCGGTGTGCATGGTATAAACAGAAACTGCGGTATTTTTTGTACATGAATACTTAACATAACCTTAAAAATGTAACACGTTCATAAAGCCGAATGTAGCAACACGCGAGTGAATGTGAAGGCATGTGCAAAATTCCAGCAGCACTTTAAGTGTTTACTAACGATACTCGTAAATATTACTAAGTAGAAATTAATAAAAAAAAAAAAAAAAAAAAAAAAAAAAAAAAAAAAAAAAAAAAAAAAAAAAAAAAAAAAAAAAAAACAATCGATATTGGCAATCATAAAGCTAATACCTACGGGATTCTAGTGAACAACATATCCGTTGTGTGAAATGATTGGGTAATACGTAGTATGTAAGCCTCTTAATAACATAACTCTGCTTACGAACTTATATAAGAAGTCCTGGCATTATTTAATTTATTTTCAACTCTTTTGAGTTTTAATCTGACWGCAAAGAAAATATAGAAATATTGGAGCAGTGATAGTCGAGCAGTTTTCGATTTCCCATACATTATTTAYAAACAAATTTAAATACTGGCAAGAGAATAAAGTAGACTATTATTTTGACCGAGGACGCTCACTGCAATGACAGATTGGCTGGAGATTCTCGGTGCCTCCGACTGGAACCTGGATTTTGTGCGTGCATTGTTTGCTGAATTCCTCGGCACCTTCTTTTTCGTCTTACTCGGTATTTTGTGCACTCTCTTCAAGCCGAGCGAAACGGAGTGGCCATATGCCTCGCCTGTTCAAGTGGCGTTCACGTTGGGCTGCACTACTTTTTCGGTATCGCACGCGCTTGGTAATATAAGCGGTGCACATCTCAGTCCATCTGTGAGTCTTGCGATATTCTTAGTTTGTGGCATGAGTCTGCTTTGTTTTATTGGATATGTAATTGCGCAAATACTCGGCGGCTTGGCGGCGACTGTGATTATTTTATCGGTACTTGATAAGGAAATGTACCAGGATCAACGTCCTTTAAGGCCCTCGATGAGTACGGAACTGTTGGAACTCTGCATCGTCGAAGCYTTAGCAGCGTTTATTTGGATAATCATGGCAATTGTAAATACCGAGCGGCGAAATGAAGATGCATTCGGTAACGGATCATTTGCTATAGGCTTCGTTGTCTTGGGCTCCTATTTAATAGCAATTCTACTAACTGGTGGCGGCGTTAATCCAGTACGGTCCTTGAGTGCATCCATAATTGTTAATGAGTGGGATTTTCACTACTGCTATTGGATAGGGCCGATGGCGGGCGGTTGTCTGGCAGCACTGATTTATTATTGTTGTTCGGGAGTGCTCAGACATAGACATGTTTACAGAATTTCTTAAACCGAATATGTGAGATATATGTATTTGGAAAATAAACTTAACTCAACATATTGGTCTTTGATCTCATCTTAGCTTTAGGTTAGGGCTCACACTTACTTTATACTGTTTTGTCCAGTCTTTCTTGAAGTCAGACTACAGAAAAACTCCTTTAGTTGGATATGTATTAGTTATCGGYAAAGTATACTTAACTTTTCACAAATCTGCTAAGATATTTTTATCTACCATATGTATTTGTGCTATTTCACGTAGATGCCCAAATATATGACAATCTGTTTTAGCCTTGATGTGGGAAAAGCGGGGCATTCCAGGAGGAGTGCTGATTTGATTGTATATCACTTCCAAATACTTGTAGCTGACGTAACTGGCATCMGGTATGATGACTAACCTTTCCGAAAGCGAAGAGCTCCCTAGAACTCTTACGATATATTACGAGCTATAAGGACATGCGAAATGAAATCAAAGTTTGYGAGGATTTCACAGCGCCCAGGCTCGGCGTCATTTAGGTACCCAGATTATCTGAGTCTGTAGGCAGCTTCCCCGAATACATATCTGGCGGCTATGTTCACCAGTGCTATATGCAGCAAAGCATTCATCTCCATAGTTGACTTGTTCGTAGTACATCACAAATCCTGATGAGAACTGGCCGTTTTTTAGCGTCTTCCACCATACAAGATTTCCGTGGAACAATAAAAAGAATACTCTTTCATAGAGCCACTCCAAACCGTTCGATCTTCTTTGGAATAGAGAGGAAATTTTCACCAACCCAGAACCTTACGATATTAAGGTAACCCAGTTAGCTCATACACGCTATTGAAATAATATCCCTCAACCATGAGCTCTCAATCCCGCGGCATCCGCCTTTTCAAGCTTTTCCAGACAATCATTAACAGTCATAATCAAAAGGAATAGCCAGGGACTCGCTCTTCTGAGATGCCTCTGCTTACATTGTGTTGTGCTTATGCACTATCCCAATCTACCACAATGGTTCTACCGCAAAGAAGTTGGAAGATTAAATACTTAAGGTTGGCTTCAACACCAAGTCTATTCGAAGCTCTAAAGGCAATACATTGATKAATTGAATGAAACCTTTTGGTTTTCTCGAGCAAAGTATTATCCAAAACAAAAACAAAATGAAGTTRATGAAACCCAGTTTTATTAAAGAATAATAATGAATGAAAGTGTAATCTACAAACGAGATTGATTTGATTTGCTTTCTGCTGATGGAGTACCGCGTAGCCAATCGAAAAGGCTCGATGTACGCGGTTCTCGATTATACGGCATGTATAAGGCCTCATAGGTCAGTGCTCCAAAAATGCCACCCAGAGTTGATCCAATGGCCGGTGTAAAATTGCCAGCAAATATATTCGGTCCAGAAGCGAAATGCAGAAACGGGTTCAGGGCCACCTCCGATATAGAGGTGCCACTCAAAAGACATGCGGTGTAGGCGAACCCTATGGCCATAGAAGCGGAACTCCGTTGACTGCGGTGTTGTACGTCTGCCATTGTACGAAACAGCATTACGAACATGGTTGTGAGTATAAGTTCCAGTAATATTATTTGCCAGTCTTCCAATGCAGTAGGYTCTTGAATTGCATTCGAATTGGCGAAAGCATACAATGTGTACGTAAATACTGCTGAAATTGCGCCCAACAATTGCATGATAATATAGAAGAATAGACGTAACGTGCTCATTTCACCGACAACGAAAAATGCGATCGAAACCGCAGGGTTGATATGGCAGCCGCTTATGCGACCGAATAATTTGGTTAAGGCAGCAACAGTCAGTCCGTGAGCGAATGAAATTTTCGTTACGGCCCATTGTGTGTCCTCCACCGTACTAACCGTCTTCCGCACCAGCATCAGCACAAATGTCCCGAAGAATTCACAAAGAAGTTGCCGCCGAAATAAATAGCTTTTCAATTCGTTCGTACCTAAGGCTGGAAACATGCTCTCGTAGTTTGAGAATAGGCGGAACTGGCACTATATTATATTTTCTTTTTGTTTAGAAAATATTTCCGATACTTTGACATGATGTGAAATAATTTTCATAGGCAAGTGGACATCAACCCACAAAGTATATTCAACAGATTCGTGGCAAATATTTATAGCTCAGTTCAAGTTTTGGATTTTCACCACTGCTAATATGCTAGCGACACATAGCTAACTGTAATTATGACACATCATCACCTAGAAGACACTTGGGGTTTTCAGGAAAATCATCAACCTCCCGTCTACTCCGATCAGGTTCATGGCAATCGTCTAGAGAGTAAAACGGCCGTTTTGTGGAAAAATAGGTATTTTGCAACCTTCTAGGACATCCAGCGGCCAAAGTATTCACATGAGCAATCCTTTACCTTCAGAGAAGTCATCAAGGGAACATGTTTCGAAAACACCGCAAAAGATTAAGGTAAGAATTACGGAGCATTTCCAAATACAAAAAAATTAGCCAATATAAGAAAATACAGTTTTATTTGTTTCTAACAGGTTGATGTGTAAAAATTGCCTAAATAGATATAGATCAATAACTGCATAAGTACATGGTTATATAATTTTCTTCAATCCAATCCAATAATCGAATATTCAACTTTTCTCTCTAAGCAAGGCTTAGTCCGCGTTTTCCTCCGCTTCTTCTTGTTCTTTATGCGGTGCAATCTTAAATAGGAATTCATAAGTCAAAGCTCCCAGTACGCCACCAGCAAATGGAGCTAACCAATAAATCCAATGATCCTTCCAATCCATGTACACCACAGCTGGCCCAAAAGAGCGGGCTGGGTTCATGCAGCCGCCGGTCAACCGATATGCAGCTAAGTAAGCCGCTATTATTGTGGCACCAACGGCTAGTGGTGCCGTATCTCGTAAGCCCATCATTTTATGACTTTCAGCACTGCGTGCCAGAAAGACCCATATAAAGGTCAACAGCATTTCAATAACAATAGTGCCCAACACCGATACATGCGGATGCTTTGGTACACCTAGGTGTTTATTTGCCAATTTTTCCGGTAGTAAAACTAGCGCCATACAGACTCCAAGAGCAGAAGCAGTGCATTGCACAACCACGAATAGGAAACTCATAATTAAACTCAGTTCACCGACAACGCAGTATCCTAAAGTTACAGCGGGATTGAAATGACAAACACTACGACGGCCCAACGCCTGGCCYACAGCGGCAAACACCAATCCTAAGCCGAGCGAAATTTGTTCCATTGAGGCGCCACTGGAAGTGGTATCTATTGCTCGCTGCAGTTCCTCCTGGTCAACATATTGTTGTGCCATTGTAAGGATGCTGGTGAAGACGATGGCAAGCGTGCCAAAGAATTCTGTTGCCAACAGTATCACACTTGCTCTATTGAAGTCTTTAGTACCAACAATCTTTCTCCAGCCCATTACAGTTGTACTTTGGTATCTTCCTTAAATTTTTCGTTTTAATGAAAACGTGGGCGACTKGTTATTTATATTATTTGTTTATAAGTTTTTATTTTTTTCAAATTGAATTGCTTTTCAAGGCAGTGACGAGAGCTGCGTTCACACTCCTCAAAAGCTAACTATAGTATGTTCTTATTTTGCAAACTCAGCTGTTTTGTGCTGTTAACGGAAAATTTGTTATTGTAATCTTCTGTGACTCTGTTTCACCTAACTGCAGTTTTGGAATTCAAAAACCAGCAGAATAGAGAGAGACCTATGTCCCCGTACATTCAATTTCGACAAGACCATATTGGTTATTTCAGGGTGCCTGAAGAGTGGACTCTCAAAGTACTCGGCTCGGCGTCTACTCAACGAGTATTGTTACTCTATTAACCCTCTTTTTGATAACTCTAAAGAAACATGATGTAAACAAAGCACCTTTCGAAGCTTCGCTATATTATATTTATAGTAATGTTCATAGATAAAAGATCTTGTATTTATGCCGCCCGCTGGATAAGAAGTGTTCCTTATTATTGAAATAACCATAAATACTTCAATGACTTTTGGCTTACCTTAGGCATTCTAGACCGATTACTCTCGACTTCCGATCTTAGACCAAATATCCTCTGGCGAGTCAAAAAACACACATTTGAAGTGAGAAGGCGAACCCGCCATGTAAAATACAACCCCGATGAAAACGAAAAAACGGCTTGGACGAGAGACTTCTGCTATTACCGCGGAAGCGGTGTCTACGCCAATAAAGAAGAAGAATTTTAAGCAAAACTTATATATCTCACTAAAAATATACAACTGCATTGCAAACCAACATAGATTTAATGAATTTAGTAATTTTAAAGTATATTTTTAAGTATTCAGAGAACTCTTTCGTCTGGCACTATTTCTTCTAGAGCGTCTCCGCTTAAGCGCTTCACGATCCTGCACACCAAAGTGATAGCAAACTGAAGCCATGACACCACCCAAAATCGGTCCGACCCAATAGATCCAGTGAGCGTTGAAATTGAGATTTACAAGTGCCGGCCCGAAAGAACGCGCTGGATTCATGCTTGCCGACGAACACAAATAGCCAACAAGATGACCTGCTGTGATTGAAAGTCCCACAACTAATGGTCCAGATAAATGTAAATCATCACGCGTAGGATCAGCCATTGATTTGTACACCATAACCATAATAAATGTAATGAACATTTCAAGAAGCAACGCTTCCCAAACACCCATGTATAGTGGTCTGGTTACACCGTCCGTCCGTTCGAGCGAAGGTCCCGGACAAATACTTTCCACCAAAAATGCCGCTAAACACGAACCGAAGCATTGCACTAGTATGTAGCATAAACATTTGAGAAATTTCATCTGTCCAACGACCAGCCGACCGATGCTAACAGCAGGATTCAGGTGCGCACCACTAGCCCTATTCACCACATGCGATATACTTGACATTGCCAGTCCAAATGCGAAGGCAACCGGCACCACCGAGGTCATCAGATTATGCGATAACGAGACTGTGCTAATGACGCCAACGAACACGTAGAAGAATGTTCCGAGGAACTCAGCAAGTAACATGCGCCAAATTTCAACATCGAAATCGCTTAGACCAATAAATTCTTCGAAGTTGCTCATTCTTGCTATTTATATATTTATGTGTACGCCTTCTCTATTTAATAATAGTACTTTTTTCCTAAATTGACAACGTTTTCTCACATATATTTCATGACATGAGAATAATTCGTTCGAAATAAAACAAATGAAAACTGACAAAGTGTTTTTCATTTCACCTCAACTTCGAAATGAACTCACTCTGCGTTACGYATTAGAATTTGGACAACCACCTGTTGGAAATCAGCCTGCAAATTATCACTCCAAATACTTCAGCAAAAGCGTGGCAACTGAAGAAAAAACCGGCATGAAAACGCAAACGTGCTCAGTCGTGCTCTTTACTCAATTATCATAGAGTTGTTTATTGGTTACTCAGCTAGTTTTCTGAGTACGGCTTATACTCCTGCTCACTTACTCACATTCTCCCGGCATTGCTAAGAGGCAGCTACATGCTTCATATTGTGTTAGACGAGATACAACACTCCCAACTCATTMGCAATGCTTAATTCTCATACATCAGCCTTTAGCTCAAGCCTACGCGCTCACGACCGAGGGTGGCTGGCTTAACAATCGTGTGACATCGTTTCGCCATACTCACCACAGTCAAATGTTGAAGTGAGAYTTGCACTAATCGTGCCAAGCATCCTCGGCATGTTGACATCCTGTCGTGTGGCCAATTCCTGCACTCGTATTTTCTTGCCGATTGGGTGCTTTTGCTTCGAGGATTCAGTTGTATTTTTGCTCTCTATGTAAGCGAACGTGTATGCCGTGCGTGGACGTGTAATAACGTTTTGGGTTTTTGCTGGCCGTTCACTTTTTATGGCTAACTAATTATTTTCGAAATCATACTATATAGTATCCTTGTGTGCGACTTGCAGTAATTCATTTAAAGTACATGCCTTGCTATATATGTACATATGTATATACTTTGTTAATAAAGAATTAAGGAAAATCCGTTTGCACAATTCGCTCGCTCGCAAGCGATGTTGTAGCGTGCGTGACTTGCAGCTGAAATTTAGTTGTGCAATGCCGTGTGCTGTTCAAAATTCTAAAGCTAGTTTGTCAAGGAATGAAAAAGAAACGAACAGCATGCAGTAGCAGCGCCAAGTCATTCCAGCAGTGAAACCCAAAATCTGAAGTAGCGAAGTGAAGCAAAGTGCGCAGATTCAAAGAAATTAACTAACTAAATAATAAAAAAAAAATGAAAACAAAAACAAATTTAAAAAAATATTTTAATTTTAAATAAAAAAATATAATGAAGAAGCATGAGCCAAAGCAGCGAATGCCAACAAAAAGCCATATATCATGAACAATCACACACGCGAATCACTGGCTGAGTGTGCCGATTGCATTCGTGCGCTGCGGTTGATTGCTGCCACCGCTGCTGCTCAATTTATCGCCAGTGTAATTGATGCATGGYTGCTTACGCTGTTGTTGCAGTGACTTAAAGTTGTTGCTTTTTTTTCATTTGGCGTGTTTAAAGCACAAACAGCGCAGTGTTGCATTTTAACGCCACGTGAGCTTCAATTACATTGAATAACTATGGACTCTTAAACGGTTGCTAAGGAATTAAATTAACGACTTCTCATGCTTGAAATTAAGGCAGCCAAGTTGTTTGTTTGAAAAATACGAAAAACGCGGAAACATTCACGTGTTAACGCAACAGTGAGACAACAACATCATTGACACAGCATCGGGTCAACAGCCCGTTGTACAAATACGAAGCGCAGCGCAAGAAGCAGCAGCAGCAGTTGAGTTGCAAGTGCGACATTGCATGTGCGGCTGAAGTTGCAAGCGCGGCCCGTCACTTCGTGGTGCCGTTACTGACCGCCGCACTTGCTGCGAATCGTGCGGCTGTTGGTGGCTACGCGCTGCTCGCCTCGCCGGATGTGATTGTGTCCATTTGCATTTGAGCAAATTACTTGACTTCAAGTGCCGCATGTGCAATGCACTTACGTGTGATGTGAGTGTGTGTGTGTGTGGGCGCGTGCTTTCAGTATGCTGTGCGTGTTTAAGCATTCATTAAAATACATTCAATTAAAACGGAATACAAAATATTTAATTAAAAGCAGTCAACATACGCGAGAAATCGATGCCGCAGCACYATGAAAAATACTCACACAGTACTTGTGGAAAATTACATGATTGTATTCAAATATTTTTTATTTAATAATCATCTTTTTTTTCAGTGTAGTGACATGACRTGAGATTTTTAAGTGATTTCAAATTGTGAAATGGTAACAAAACCGTTTTATTGTCGGAAATAAAAAGTATTTATCACAATACAGTTATTTTGCATTTATGTATGGACATATAACAAATAGCGGACCTAATTGTGGAACAATTTTAAGCGGTAAGTGTCTTGACTTTTGAGTTCCTACCATTTGCAAATCACTTTAACGCGAGCGTGATACATTTAATTGRTTCAGACCCTGTAGGAAATATGTAATGCTTTGGAGAAATAGTGCAACAGGTTTTAAATGGAGAGTAATTTTTTAAGGAACTGTTTGCGAAAACAGATTTTTAATTACTTTAATTAAAAAAACAAACTCCCTGAAAGTTCATGTGCCTCATATATTATTTAAACCCATTGATACTGAGAAGGGTTATTCATTTTGAATTAGTAGATTTTATCGAATATACTTTTTCTGAAAAACATCAACTGAAAAGATTACCAATGTTGGCAGTAAATTTTCTTTCCATAAAAAAGTGGAAGCACATACTATCTGCAGACCAGCAATAGGATACAGATTTACGTCTATGACTTTGTGTTATAATGATAATATTTGAATTGACCGATAACACCARAGTCACATAAAAGTTGCATCGCAGAAATACAATCTGACAAAAAAGTACCCAGAAATTGTAAATAACTCACTCACCAMTTTTCATAAGCACTTTTTGGGATGGCCTTCAGCTCTTTCTGCGAGTTTTGTTTTATATCTGCGATCGACTGAGTGCGGGTTCCATGCCGGTGATTGTTGATTTGTTTTCATGTCAAACTCATAAACCCATGTCTCATCGCCAATTATAACGTTCTATATGAATGTGGTTCGCAATTCGCACGATCAARCATGTCAAAAGAGACCYGTTTAAGTCGGAATGAGTCAAGCAAGAACGCGTTTCATAACCAAATTATACAACAAAATCATTCGAACGGAGTCTCGAAAGACATTTGCCTGACGATTTTCAAGRACTATTTGCTTCTCTTTTTTAAATTTTCATATGTTGAAGAATTCGAAGGTCGTCTAGAACGAGGCATGTACTTATCTATGATCTTTCGATCGTCTATGAAGGCTTTATACCACTCGTAGACATGTGTTCTTGATAAARCTGAATMACCATAAGCCTTTCYAACATTCCCAACGATTCCGCACACGAATTTTGGTTAAAAATACAAAATTTTAGACAAATTCTTTGTTCGATATTTTTAACCATTGCAAAAATCGCCACGCATTACTGAGTTGTACGACTTAAGCAGCTGCTGTAAATAAATTGATTGTAAGACCTATCTCATATTTGGCATAGTAATGAAGGACAGTCCTACTTCTTTCAGTTAGTCAGCTGCAATATTTTAAGCCATATTTTGATTTATTTTTTTCCACTTCAAGAGAATTTACAGCAGGAAAGGTGCTAGTATGCAGCTCTAAAGAAATCGAGTACTAATTTTCAATACATTTTTTCAATAAAATGCGAATATGGCAAACCTGRTTTTGCGAAGAAACATGAAATCAAGTATTTGGAAATTCAAAGAAATCGATATGTTCATCCTAAATTAGTTAAAATCATTATTATGAAGTATATTTCATTTCGAAATGCTGTATAAATCTTACCAATCATCAACAACATTCCTTAAATAGCAATGCAAATATTTATGTTAMTTCACACATACATACATATACATATATTACACACAAAGTTTATTTTCTGTGTTTATTCTCCCTTGCTCTTGTAATGTGAATCATTCACAATGCGTAACCAGCTGTCAAAATTACTTGAAGAAATAATGTTTTTTTTTCTTGAGCAATTACTTGAGAGCTGGATCTTAACTATGAAAAATTTTTCCTTTCATTTTTTTTTTTTTTGTTTTTATTTATTTTCTCAAAGCTAACATTACTAGTCGCCACTATTGGAATTTTATTTCAAAAGAAAATCTAGATCCGCTTGAAATTAGATAAATTATATTGACGAATGTCTCTATAGTCTAAAACTAAAGTAAGTTCTTTGTAATGCTTTTTGCAACCCAATAATAACGAACAAAATCTATGCATCAAAATTGGAAGGAAAATTCAGTCCAGTTACTTTTATCTTTATGAATATCTTCGCTTTATTTACATACATATGGTGTTAGATCCAACCTCACTTTTGAAAGAAAGTTGAAATCTGAAAATTTCTTCATGTTCCATGCTCATCAAGAACCTATTAATTTGTTGGAATCGCTGATATCAGATCAAGAAATAATTCAGCCTTTATAAAAACTAGTTGGTTAAAACTAATTTATTTTAAGGAAAAGTTTTATCTGACAAGTAATCCTTACAACATTTAGTATTGATAGACTATTACACAAAAAAACGCTACAACCTCATAAAAAATGCTTAGAAAGGACCACTATAGATATAGCTTCCATACAAAAATATTGAACAAAATAATCACTTCAGCAATCACGTTTTGTATCCTGAACAGAGTAAACGAAATTTGCAATACCCAGTAGGAAACGTCAGAAACCCCATAAAATAGATTTATTGATCAGTATGACGAGCTGARTCGATTTAGCTATGTCTGTCTSTATATTKTATATGCCAGTTAGTCTCTCAGTTTTTGCATATCCATCATAAATTTTGCTCACATTCTATTTTCTTTAAGCAGGTGATCAATTGTCARACTCGCGGATAAATAAACCTTTTTTTTGTATTTAATTCAATTTTTTTTTTTTAATAATGTGCATGCTCAGAAACTTAAAGTTGCCCACGCTAACTAAGAAAACGCTAATTATTTGACTAGATAGCATTATAAGTGATTCTGACTGCTTTTRTACATTACGAAAGCTTAATTCCAAAGATATTGCATTATAAGACTCCCTAACCACCCACCAACAATAAGACAACATTGCTAGCAACTCAAATAGTTGTATTTGTTTCATTGTATTTCATTTGCATTAAATCTATGCACGGCATAATGAAGCAATCGCTTAGTTATCTAATGAACATATTTCTGAAAAGTTGCTTAGCAGCAGAACTGCGAGTTTTCAACGAACTTCATGAACGTACTAAGCAGACCTTTCTGGGAATTAAGAGCAAAATGGACAGCATCTTTTTAAGTTGGTAAAAATGCAGAGAAACCCAAGTGCAAAATGCTGTATGCTGTTGTTTCTGGCGCAGTCACTCTGCTGCCGATTAAACTCTTAGCGGAACAACTTCCGCGAAGCGCCTTAAATGGACGGACAGGCATACACATGACACACACACAAACTCATAAATTCATACAAATACGCAGCAATGAAATTTATAAACACACTCATAGTTCACGGCGAAGCCACCATTGCTAGAGCAAAGTAGCCAGCTACCGGCACTTAGGCGCTTCGCCTCCCTCTCCCACCCTTTGTCGTGCGCAATGTGCGGCATTTATCCGTGTAACTACTTCAATTATCCTTCCGACTTACGTTCTATCTCGTGTAGTTATTCATCGTGTTGCTATAACTGTTGTTGTTGCACCTGCTGCTGCTGGCGCCAAAGTTGCCCCAACTCGTAGCGGCGTAGTACAGGAAATATGAGTTGAGCACCGTTACATGGCGTCCTCTGGTTGCATTGCAATTCAACTCCGTGCAAACTTTAATCCTTCAATAATATTATTTTTAGCGCAAAGCTTCTCGGCGCAACTAACTACGGGCTTAGAATTCGAAGAGTCGAACTGTTGGCCGGGACGGCAAGTGAAAGCAAAGCACATAAGTATTGCGGGATTGGACGGCGATAACGTGGGCAAAAGCGCACTTGCGCCTCGCAACCCCAGGGCACTGTCAGGCACTTCATTTACTTTTCTCATTTAAACTGTGTTATCGCTCTTGCCTTTTATCTACTTTATTTCACTGTTCACTTCATTCTYTACCTGCGAAACTCAATTTTAATTCCAAAGCTAAATTTATAATTACAAAATGAAGTTTAGGAGAAATAAAAAAATATATATGTGTGATATTTTATAGCGAAAGTCATTCGGAAGCTAGTGAGCACAAAAATTCTAGGGATGGAGAGCAAATACCATCATTGTGTAAACTTATTAGGTTGACCACTYCATTTTATCAATACTACAAGCCAAGACTAAGAAGTGATACCGAACTAGAAAAAATTCATATTACTTAAATTGTTATTGAGTTGGGATAAAACCATGTTTTATCTAMAATTTTTCATTTAGTCTCGGCCCAGAATTAACCAACACACTTGAGCCAATAGTGGGATCTAAACTACTTTTCTGAATGAAGATAATCTACTTTAAGATTTGCTAAGTTTAGAGCTAGCTTATTAGAGGCAACGGGTGCACTTAAGCCATCATTCGGCCATCTGTAGTGCCGGGTGTTAACCAAATTAATATTTGTTCAGCAACTCAAGAGATTTGGCAGAAAACCAGATTTTTTCCATTCCTTCTGCCCAATATCTCTTAATTTGGAGCATTGGAATCAGTGGAATATATGCCATTACATCCGACTGAAGGCTGGGCATCCACAAAGACAACATTCCAGTGTCTCATCAGCCTCCGCGTATGCTCCTTATCTCGCTGAACTTTAAGGACTTGCWTATTAGAGTAAATGTCCACTCGGTTTTTTCTCTAATGCCAAAAATTTCGGCCAAAAGATTGAATTGTAAACATTTAKTTTGACGCTCCCATTTTGCGTATCGGTATATAGTAAATAACCAATTACGTACCCTATGTTGATTTGCCTCACTTTTCACTTTTCACTTATAACTTTTGATTTGGTTAAAACATAAAATTGTGGAACATTTGCTTTACTAATTTCTTCTAGAAATGGTTGTGGTAAAATTGATTGAAATCGATCGGTACCTTCGTACCAAAAGTTGTGGATGATCAATGTACATATATGTATATTTCGTTATAACTGCAGCTTTCCTGAATACTGATATTAATGTGGCCAGTGACTGTACCAACTAAGTCTATCGTAGTGGAAGTAATTAATCAAGCTAATCGGTACTAAAAATATAATATTTATATATAAAAATTACGTGTCTTCTTTCGATAAAGAACTTTTTTTCAACGAGAATTGACAGATATGACTCATATTT